CGTACTGGGTCAGACCAAAGGTCCATCTAGCCCAGTAGCCTGTCTGCCGACAGCGGCCAACCCTAGGGACCCTGGAGGGGATGGACTGAAACAATGACCAAGCTATTTGTCTCCTGCCATCCATCGCCAGCCTTCCACAGAGTCCAGGGACACCATTTCTACGCCCTGGCTAATACCACTCCATGAACCCAGCCTCCATGAATTTATCTCACTTCTCTTTAAACTCTGTTCTAGTTCTAGCCTTCACAGCCTCCTGCAGCAAGGAGTTCCACAGGTTGATTATTTGCTTTGTGAAGAAGAACTTTCTGTTATTAGTTTGAAGCCTGCTACCCATTCATTTCATTTGGTGTCCTCTAGTCCTTCTATTATGGGAACTAATGAAGAACTTTTCTTTATCACCCTCTCCACACCGCTCATGCTTTTATAGACCTCTATCATATCCCCTCTCAGTCTCCTCTTTTCTAAGCTGAGAAGTCCCAGTCTCTTTAGCCCCTCTTCATATGGGACCTGTTCCAAACCCCTGATCATTTTAGTTGCCCTCCCCTCTCCCACCCTCTCTCTTCCCCTCTCCCACCTCCTTTTCCCAGTCTCCCCGAGTTTTGTTCAATAAAGAGAGTTTCTATTTTTGAACACACGTGTCCTTTATTTTGTACATCAGGAAGGGGGGCTAGGGAGGGGTAAGTGTAAGGAGGTGAGGGAGGAATGGGATACGAGCCCCTGATTGGGAGGACTGGGCTGGCTCTGAGGGCTCCTCGGGGTGGAAGCTCTCCTGAAGCCCCTTAATTGACCCCCCCTCTGGATGGCAGCCTGCGGCAAGTGCAGCCGGACTGATGGCCGAGTGCTGTGATGTGCCGAGTGTGGGCACTCAGGGCACTCTAAGCCAGGACTGCTTTGCAAGCAGGGAACCCCTGAGAACTGTCTGTCTGGGGTGGGGGTCGGGTCCCTTTAAGCACAGCCCTCGGCTAGCCTGAGACAGCAGGTCCACGCTCTAAGTCCTAATATGTGGAGGCCACTACAGGGATTACAATCGGGAGTTCCTTGTTTTCCATACATCTGGAACTCAGCTTTGTTTTATGAGAACTTCCTTTGCTTAGCATGTATATCCTTGCTTTACTGCCATAGGGTATGTCTACACTACCCTCCTAGTTCGAACTAGCAGGGTAATGTAGGCATACCGCACTTGCAAATGAAGCCTGGGATTTGAATTTCCCGGGCTTCATTTGCATAAGCGGGGAGCCGCCATTTTTAAAACCCCGCTGGTTCGAACCCCGTGCAGCTACCCATTTCATTTCATTTGGTGTCCTTTAGTCCTTCTATTATGGGAACTAAGGAAAAACACGGGGCTCGAACTAGGTAGTTCGGACTAGCCTTCCTATTCCGAACTACCGGTACACCTCGGAAAAACTATGCTGCTCCCGGCTCGGGCAAAAGTCCTTTTCCAGAACACTGTTCCAGAAAAGGGCCAGTGTAGACAGCACAGACTTCTTTTCCGCAAAAAAGCCCCGATCGTCATTTTCGCGATCGGGGCTTTTTTGCGGAAAAGAAGTCTGTGCTGTCTACACTGGCCCTTTTCTGGAACAGTTTTCCGGAAAAAGACTTTTGCCCGAATGGGAGCAGCATAGTTTTTCTGGAAAAGCACTGATTTTTCAGAAAATCATGCCAGTGTAGACGTAGCCTAGGAGTTCATCTTATCTGAGACAGTCCAGCAACAAAGGTTTGTATCATATAAAACGTGAAAGAAACTAGAATGACGTTAGCTTATAAAAATCTCATAAATACCTAAGGTTCAGCCTGATCAGTGTTTAGGTAGCAAACCTTCAGGGGAAAGTCAGGCCCTACAAAAAATGTTTCACAAGATGGCACCTTTCTTCATATCATTACAAAACCAATTCACGTACATCATGCTGAGCGCAATCGTAGACAGAAAGATAATTATCTGGATGAACTGTAAAAACAAAGTCTTAATCACTAATTAAAAATCCTATAGCATAGGATTTTAGCAATCATATTCTTACTTATCTAATACAGCTACCTGTCTCTGCGGGAAAGAATTAATGGACACAAATCAGATATCCAAAAAGGCAATACGCAAAAACCTGTTGGAGAACACTTTAATCTGTTGAGACACTCATTAATAGATCTCCAAGTCACAGTGTTGTTTCAGGCCAATTCCACAAGCCAAACACAAAGGGAAGGATTGGAACTTTAAGTTCATTTACAAGTTTAATTCTTATGCAAATAATATGAACAGGGACACTGACTGGCTCACACACTACCTTCCACATCCTAATGACTTAACCAACCAACCAATGGAGGTGCTAATTGTTCCTATTAACCTCTTGTAACTACTTAAGAACCATCTACTCCAGTGTTTCTTAAACTGGGTTCCAAGGCAGTTGGAGGTGTGCCACAGAGAACAGATGGCCACTCTTAAAGGGGCAGGAGACCTTTTTTTGCTTAACAAAAAATCCTTGGTATTCCTCATAAAAAAAAAAAAAAATGATTGTTTGGTGTTCATCAGTATTAAAAAGTTTAAGAAATACTGATCTACTCACTGTCTCTCTTTTCTCCCCATTCTTTTCTCTCTTTTTCCCCCTCCTTCCTCCTACTCCTACGCCCTTGCTTATTTATTCTTGGATCTGCACTTCTAATACTCCAGTCATCTGAAGAAGTGGGTTGCACCCACGAAGGCTCATGATACCTTCTATGTGTTTTGTTAGTCTTTAAAGTGCTAATAGATTATTTGTTGTTTTTTAAGTTTTTCCTGATACAGACTAACTCGGCCACTCCCTGAAGCTTCTGATTGTGTGTGTGAGTTTGTGTGCAATGTATACACACACACACGAATGAACCACCTTATTTCTTCAGAATATATACTACATACATTTAAGATACCTATCATTATAGTTCAATAGACTTATTTGAGCCAATACAGGCTTCGCAGGGAAGGGAACTGCTGACAAGTGGTGAAATACAAAATGCAGAGAAAATAAAACTGGTAAAGTTCACATTTTTCCACAATTGGAAAACAGAGATCTTACTATATAACCTGGTAACCAAGGACATGACCAAGCTGAAATGTCACTCAAAACAAATAGAAAGCAAAGGGGGAAGGGGGAATACTAATTCATTGCTTTACACAGATCTTTAGATAGACTTAATAAATACCAAAAATATACATAGTACTACAATGAATGATGATCAGTCAAAGTTGTATGTCAAATCTGTCTTTCCCCACTCCAATCTACTTTCCCACCGGCATAAATAAAGCTCAAAACATCATGAGCGAATGGGGGTTTTACCAGTTAATTGCAACTTTTTGAAAGAGAAGAAACTGGAAAGAAAGAAAAAGAGGGGGTAGAAACAGAATACTAGAAATGGAAGGAAGCTTGAGAGTTCATCAAGTCCTGTCCCCAACATTTACCACAGGATTTAGCACCATCTAGACCATCCCTGACAAATGTTTATCTAACTTGCTCTTAAATATCTCCAATGATGGAGATTCTACAATCTCCCCAGTCATTTTATTCTAGTGCTTAACTTCTCTGAGAGTTAGGAAGTTTTTCCTAACGTCTAACCTAAGTTCGAATTTAATCCCATTGTATCTTGTCCTATCATCAGAGGATAAAGATAATATTTTTTCTCCCTCCTCCTTGTAACATCCTTTTAGGTTCTTGAAAGCTGTTATGAAGCACATACCAGAAGAGGCTTCCAATCTTTCCAATCTGCTGATCAACCAGTCAAGAGATCCAGAAAACTGAGCACAGTTTTTACGATTTCCCCTAATAAGTGCCGCTATTGAAAGAAAAAGAAAAAAAAGTTTAAAAAGTTAATAAATATGTCCAATTCACATTAAAAGAAACCTTTTAATGAACCATGATCTAACAAAACAGGTGCCAAATAACTTGGCAAATCATTACATTGAATACTGAAATTTGTGGTATTTCATCAAATTGCCCAATAGTCTAAAAATTTTAATTTATCTAAAGCTAACAGTCATCCTTTTGATATTTGATATTGATATTTGTTATTTTGTTTTCAAATAACAAAAAGTAAGTCTGTTGATATTCCTGAAAAAAATCCCTATGTAGTATTAACATTGGACCTGCATTACAATATTGGAAAAAAGAAGGGGAAACAAATATAAGGGAAGAGTGGGATTTAATTTACACTGGCAAAATAAGTACATTCTAGAAAGAAAAAGAAAAAATATGGCAATGAAACAAAATGCATTACTTTATGTTCAGGAAATGTTTGTTAAGCTTCCTTCCCTTTTGGAATTTGTACTTTATAGCACTATAAACATATGATATTTTTTTAAAAGTGGATTGGGAACAAAGAACACAACAAATTATGAATGGCAGAATTAAGTTACCATCATTTATCTTTAAATTAAGACCAGAAGAGGTCTCCAATGGTAGCAAGGCTTCACTTTTCAAAATATATCATATAAGGCAGCTTAGAAAAGGAAATTTACAAAGTTATCACAATTAGGATTAAAGTAATAACCCCTCTCCCCCCCACCAACCTGAGCCAAATTCATCCTTGGACAGAAATGGAACTACAGGTGAACAAAAGTAAGCACAGGGTGATAATTTGAGAACTCAAAGAACTCTTCCTTTTGTTCCCAGGAGGAACAAAAACACAGAGATTAATAATTCCATCTAGAGCATGGAACAGTGAAAACTGCTATTCTTACCCAAGCTTCACATGCAAGTTTGCAAATATATGATTCTTAACCAGAAACTTCCCCTGCTATTCTCTTCAAAGATTGCTGATCTCATTGGGAGATAGTCCCTGGACTATACTAAGGAGAGACTAGATCTGTAGCTAAGCTCTGACACTGATTCACTGTGTGACTTGGGAAAGTCAGTGAATATGCCTCTGTTACTCCATCAGTAAAAGGGGCCAATAGTGCTTACATGCCTTCCTAAAACACTTTGTGAGCTGCAGATGAAAAGCATTACCTTAAAGCAAAATATTATTGTTGAGATTATTAATTGTGTTTCATTGTGCTATGGTTTTGTGATGTTAATTCATTTCCATTAGGAAATATGTTTAGACTTCCTAGAATTGTGGCCTCAGTATGATTTGAAGCTGAGTCTGTTGCAGACATGAAAGGCTAGGATATGAATCCTAATCCATTATGTCACCAAAACTAGATTAACAGAGTGGTTTTAAGGAAGCAGGAGAAGAAAGCTGAAAACTTAATAGTCTGTGGCAAATCATCATTTTCTGCTTGTGCAGAACCACTCTCAGAGAGTGGGAAATGGTGATCAGAGAACAGTTCCATTAAAGCTTTATTTAGAGGCATTCAACTATAGCTGCAGATAATTTTACTACAGTTCAGGTAGCACAACTAATCACAAAGTACAGAGAATCCCTACAGGCTTTTTATGGAATAAGGGAAAATAAAATACATTTCATGAGGTAGTATTGAAAACGAAGATGTAGAAGAAATCAGACATTTGAGCTACAAAATTCATCAAAATTATGAGAGCAAACAATCCACATAGAAGCTAACTCATTTAAATATTCTATTTTCTTAAAAGGATCATTCTTTGTAACCATGAATAATAAGACTATGTTCTGAGCTGGCATATTTAAGAGGCTATCAAGTATTCTGATTACACATTTCATTTTTCAGTTTGACACACAGCACTTTTAATGTTATTTCTGAGTGAAAATGAATTTTTTTCTCAACATAGACCTACTTCTGGTTTTATATGACAGAAAAAAGAAAAAATGGCAACCACAACTCTGAATGGAAACATTTTATGAAAAATTCTTTGTCATGTACTTATGTGGCCCACATAACAGTACCTGAGTGTCTCAATGCCCCATTTTTATTCCCAAAACATGCCTCTGAGGTAAGAAACACTATTGAAATCAATACAGTATCTCTATACCTCATTTTGCCTCACACCTCTATCTGTAAAATGGAGACAATATTACAGTTCCCTATCTCACCTGAGTCCTGAGAGGATACATTTAGTAATACTAGTAAGACTTCAAGATATTTTCTTAATCGTGGTCATAGAAGTGTCTGTAAAAGACTTTATACTACAGAGAATAGTAAATAAAGCAAGAGGTCATTCTCTGTGGGAAGATAACAGTATTAAACTCCTACTTTTCTTAGCACATGGTGCTGAATAAGGCAAAATTCCTGTGGAAAAAGCACTATGTGATCATGTAATAAGATGATATAACATATGCATATACACAATGGGGATGAATTAAGGTCCAAAAACCTTATTTTTGACATGTCCTCACTTCTCAGTGCTTCCTTTTGCAACCTTTTATTGTAAAAGTTTTGAATGGACAATTACAATGAATTTGAATCAATAAACAATGCATATAATATATTATATTTCATTTTACTTTATTATAGGTGGACCCAACTTCAGTCCAGCATCTCCTAACCTCTGAATATTAGTCACCCTTATTCAAACTATTATGAGATATTTTAATGTAATAATATATATTGACAAACAAGCAATTTTATGGGTTTTTTTCATTTTATAATAAAAATGCTTGCTATCCTGGTGTCAAATAACCCTATTCAGCACATACAATGGTTAAATGTCTTCTAGCAGGCAGGATATAACAACTATAAGGAACTCTAATGAAAGTAAGCAAAAAATAATAAAAATAGCCATTTGTAATTCTATCATTATCAGTCTCAGAGATCTTCAAAGTTTTTCTTAGTCTATTCATCTTTAATGGTGGCGATGAAAATGGTGGACCACGTTTTAAAATTTATATTTTCCAGATTGCCTTTTAGGGCTTATAACAAGGACAGAAAACTAACAGGATTAGTTTAAGTGGTACAGTTTGGACCTCCCAAAAGCACGAATCCCTCATCTGGCAACATTCTTGGTCCAGGAGGACTATGGGTGTTCCTGGAACAGGGAGTTCTGGCTAGGAACCCCAATGGCAATGAGGCTGGTGGTTCACAGCCCAGTGGGGCTAGGGCTGGGACTGCCGCCAGAGCCCTGGTAGTGCAGCAGGGAACATAGCAATGATAGCAGGACCAGGGACGTGGTAGTTATGGCAGCCATGGTAGTGGGGTTGGGGCCAGAGATGAAATAGCAGGACCAGTGTCACAACAGCCTCAGCAGTCTCAATACTGGGGCCAGGGTCAGGGACACGGCAGCCCCGATAGAGGGGCTGGGACCAGGGCAGTCTGGGCTGCCAGGACCACAGTAATATGCCAGCCCAGGGGAAATGGCTGGAGCTGGCAGCAGAGTAGGAATCTGGTCTGGAGAAGCCAGTAGCAGGGACCTCCAATGGTCTGGCAAATTCCCTCGTTCAGGATCGGTCAGGTCCCAAGGGTGCAGCACCAGAGAGGTCCAACCTGTATTATCAGGCAGTGAACAGATAATCAGTTAAGGAAATAAAAACATAAAATAAAGATTAATCTTCTAGGCGCACATTTTCTGAAACTTGCTGTGTCATTTTCATCTTCCCTTTATCCAAAATCATGGATTCGACCTCTACAGCTCATAACAGAGATAAGTGATAACTGTACAATCACAATCATTTTTACCATATAAATGTAAAGTAAAATATAAATTATAATCCTCACAGTAAACAGCATAAACTGAGGCTAGAAATACACACTAGGATCAAGTTTCCCAAAAAGCTACTTGATAAGCATTTGTTACAAGAAATACAAAGAAAGACAGAAATGAAAATGTATATTAGCCACTTCATGGATCGACTAGAGCTAGATCTGGTTTCTTTGATATTGCCATCATGTGTCCTATTTTGACACCTGATGCTCTTTCATTCTCTCAACACAATGCACCACTCGCCCACATTATCAGTGACCTTATGGTCATTTTCTGTTCAACTGATGGACTCCTGTCACCCCATCCTGTTCTCCTCATTCAACTTTTAGCCTTAGATCAACTCTCCCACTTACAAAATGACCAAGCACTTCACTTTTTCTTTATTAAACAGTACACTGCTCTGATCACTCAATCACAGAGTTGCTTTTCACTGAACACTATTCACTTCCTCCTCCTGCATTTCATAGTTGTCCTCTGTCTGCTGCCTTCCCCTGCCACTTCTGTGACCATCAGAATCCATGACTGCTTTCCTTTTCACAGGTTCCACTTCTCCCCATTGATTCAGTACTCTCCCTACCCTGTGAGATGCATTTACCTCTCTCTCTCTCTCTCTCTCTCTCTCTCTCACCACAATTCTTACCATTAATTCACAATATACAATTCCTCTTTTCCTTGCCAAATGCCTCTAAATAAAGTCAAGACACTATAGTCTTCCATCCATTACAATTTTATAATCCCTTTAGCTCAAATAGCACTCTCACTACCCCACTGACTCTTTGACCCACAACCTACTGAAAGCCTTCAGTGCCTTCCCCTTAACCTTTTGAGATACCTCTTCATTTTCCACACCAGTTACCACCAGCTTTCTGCAAAAAGGACTGATCATATCTACTGTGATCTCCCTAATCTTTTCACTGCTCCTTTCCTCCTCTCATTCCCTGATGTTTTACACCTAAACTCCACCTCCAAAATTTCCCATATTCCAAACCCAGTTTAAGATGCTGTGTTATCAAACATTCTACCAACAAAACATAGCCCTCTGCTACCTCAGCCCCTTCATCTGTATGTAGTAACACATCCCAGTACTCTTGTCTGTATCCTTACTTTGACACTTTGTGATTAGGAGCTTCTGAGGATGGGCAGCATGCCTTCTAATAGGCCTATACAGCACATACTATAGATACTAAAACAAACTATAATCATAACACACAAAGAAAAACTAAGCATTCCTACATCTTATCAGAAGTTCAGCTCAGGAGAAATTACTACTTTTAACTCATTTCAATACAGGATTCCATTTTGAGTAATTTTTCCTTAGTATCTAATTCCTCATCTGAAGCTATGAAAATTAGAACATCTTATCACTATTTTGCAACTAAGCATATGAGGAAATATTAGTGTCTCATACCAATCTGTGACTGTGTAGCAAACCAAGACCATCAGAATCACCAAAGTGTGCCCATTTTAATTTGTGATGTCCTAGTAACATGACAGAAACACTCACAACATCTAAACATGTTTCTGACAGAGGCTGAATACACATTCTGTAGCTCCTCTGTCAGAATATACTGCAGTCATTTTTATGGTTTATATTTCATCTAATCTTGGGTACAGGTTTGTACATTTATCTCTCTTGAGGATGAAATATTTGCCACAAGCAAACGACCAAGCATCTCAGAAACTATGAATCTTGACAATATCAACCACTTTGTTTACATACACACTCGGTGGAAAACAACAAAACTATAGTTTGTAGGAACAGATAGAAATAATTCACTCTGCCTTCTCACCCAGGAAATTACTCAACAACACTTTGTAGTTCAGTACAGCACAGCAATTAAATCTACCATTCCCAGATCAAGACCAATGCACTTAAGAATTACTTACCAGAAGACATTATAATTGCACACGTCAAGCTTGTTACATCATGGTAAAATGTCAAAACAAAAACTTGTACATGCATTTTGCTATGCAATTACTACTGATCATGATTATTGCGTCTCCAGCACAGAGATTGTAACTTTATGTGTGTTTATATAGCATCTGACTGAGATATCTAGGCAACACAACAGAAATATTTCTTTCAACTGTCTGCAACACTGAAATGCAAATATCATGGATTCTTCAAGATATGTTTACTTTAAGCAAGGCATACTCACTTCATTTTATATCTAGTTATTCTGCCACACTGAGTGAAAAAGAAGGTTTTCTCCAACATAAGAACATAAGAATGGCCATACTGGGTCACAAACAAAGGCCCAGCTAACCCAGTATCCTGTCTTCCAACAGTGGCCAATGCTAAGGGGCATCCAGAGGGAATGAACAGAACAGGTAATTATCAAGTGATCCATCCCATCGCCCATTCTGAGCTTCTGACAAACACAGGCTAAGGACACCAGTCCAGCCCATCCTGGGTAACAGTCATTGATGGATTTATCCTCCATGAATTTATCTAGCTCTTTTTGAACCCTGTTAAAATCTTGGTCTTCACAACATCCTCTGGCAACAAATTCCACAGACTGACTGAGTTGTGTGAAGAAATACCTCATTTTCTTTGTTTTAAACCTGCTACCTATTACAGTAAAACTCCATCGATCTGGAATCCAATGCTCCGGCACTCCTGATGGTCCGGCACCATCAGGAACCCAGAAGTGCTCCGGCTGCCAGACAACTGGAGCTGCTCTGTGCCCAGCTTCCCCGATACAGCCACTGCTGAAGCTGACCAGCAGCTGAATTGGGGAAGCCATTTGTTCTCATATATAATTAAAGTTCTTTTCATTTTACTGCTTTCCAATTGCAATTATCTTTCTGTTAACAAATGCATGAAAGGGAAACTTACTCATAATGATAAAGGTAATTATCCTAATTTGTCAAAAGTAAGAAATGTCTTTGAAAAATAAAGTTCTTTAAGTATGAACGTTTTCAGTTCCAAATGGTTTATTGATGGCCCTCTATGCATTCCCTGAGATGGAAGGAGTTATGACTTTGTCTGCTATGAATACATTCAGTTTTCCATTTAATTTTAGTAGGTAATCAGGCATGTTGCAGGAATGGGTAATCTACATTAAGAAATACATAATTTGAAGGATAGGGATAATTCCAATTTTGTCTAACTCGGAAAAATTTAACATTAAAATGACATGTAATGAAAATACTAGAAAAACAACAGTACCGTACAAAGATACAGTTCCCTTGAGTAGCTCTGGAGATAGCAAAATAACTGGAGCACTAAATGTTTTCTCTTTGTATTCTGCAGCGGCTGAATCAGGGACTCCTGGGGCAGAGCCTGACTATCGTAAGGGGGGGCTATGAGGGGTCTGGGATGGCATCCCCTCCCACCCCACCCCAGACCCCTCATAGCCCCCCCCTTCCGATAGTCCGTCATAGCCTCAGTGTCCTCTTTTCTAAGATGAAAAGTCCCAGTCTTATTAATCTCTCCTCATGTGATAGCCGTTCCATACCTCAATAATTTTTGTTGCCCTTTTCTGAAGTTTGTATCTAGTGTCTAGATAATTTCAATTGTCTTTGGTTTCAGATTTTCATTTCAGCTGAAGAAGTTATTTAGCTACCAACATATCCTAAACAAACAATCAATCACAATAAGCCTTACCTAATAACTCATACAAAGAATTTAGAATGGATTTCCAAGACTCTCCTGCTTCCTTCCCAGCTACGTCAGCAAAATGGGCTGCACTGCTGTACACGTGCAAGCGATCAATGCATTCGAGGACAAGGTTGATCATACCCTAGAAGAAAAAATTCAGGTTTTCAGAGAAGAATGTATCCCTTCAGTGCAATGACGTCGATGTAGATTAAAAAAGACCCTCAAAAGTACATGGCATAAAGGAAAATAAATGTTAAAAAAAACCCACAAAACAAGTAGATAAGCAGCAGATGCGGCCAGTAATCACTTGGGAAAAGTTATAAAAGAAAATGCTATAGAATATTTTACAGTGCTTTGCCACTAGCATATTTGCTAGAAGATACTACAAAAGTAAAACATATAGCTGAATAATATCAAGCTCAATTAATAATTAAGCCCCAATTCTGCAAGGTATTTAAATGTGTCAAATATTACTAGCAGTAGCAAAGTAAGTAGGGTAGCTCACATAAGGCATATGCTTAAGTACCATGCTATATTAAGGCATAATTCTGGATAAAGAAAGGGAGCTAAAAGTCTTATGATGGTAATTACTAATTGCACTGAGCTGGAAACATCAGGTCATAATTCAAGGAGCCTTTATGGAAATTCAGTAATTCTGATATTCAGAAAACAGTATTTTTTTTAGAAAAAGGGGAAGGAAATAAATTTAGAAATCTAAATGAGTTCAGATCATAAGCAGGAACAGACCCTAAAAAACTAATGGATATCCTAGATAAGCAAGTCTAATATCAGATGTACACCCATCTCAAAATACAAATCAATTACTGAAATGACTGAAACTCTGACATTTGATATATTACAACCGAAATGTACTAAAACTGGGATCCAAGCATTACAGATTGCCAGTTATATGACTCATCCGCAAAGCTCTCACAATGAAATTACATTTTTCAAAATAATGCCATTAATATTAAACTAGTACAACTAGTTTAATATAAAAAATTTCCTCCCAGAAGCTATTTTCAAAGCTAAAAGTATCCCCTCTATTAAATTAACCCCTATAGTTGTTCCTAAAACTGGGTTTCCCACAAGCCACTCAGCTACTCAAAATGTAATTGTTAGGTCAAACCAATTAAAAACAACCCTACTAGCATACAAATAACACGGGAAGTATGGTAAGAATGCCAAAAAAAATCTACCTCTTCTTGGAAGAGATTCTGTCGATTCTTCAGTGCTCTTAGCCTGTTCTGTTTGTCTTCATGTTCTAAATGTTCATCTGGTGGGTGGAAATAGCCGATCAAGTCCTGAAGGCTCAAACTGACCGACTCAATGGGCAAGTCAACTGTGGAAGACTTCACTTTCTTGCTGAGAGCATCAAGGCCCCTAAAGTGAGTTGCAAACACTCCTCTAAGCTTTGAAATTGAATTGATTTGTCATGGTCTTTCTTTTTTTCTCTTCACAGCTTTAAAAGCAGACCTGAGTTCTCTGCTCTTAAAAATACACTGTCCTCTCAAAGTTTTTTCCTAACCAATGGTAATTCAAATGCATTCAGAAAAGAGATTTGGTCAAGGAGACTTGTATCAATTCCACTCAACTTTTCTAAATAACCAGAACAGATATTAGTTGGTGCTTCACCTCCATGTTTGAAGTAATTTTGGAAATATCAGGGACAAAACAAAGAAAACAAAACTTTTACAGCTGCTCATCAGCATATTTCTATATTGTCAGGTCATTTATACTCTGTACAAATATCTAGAGCTGGAAAACATTCTGAAGGAATCATGTAGGAGTAGGAGGCATAGTTACCAATGAAGGATTTCAGTTACAGTACATAACTCAAAAACTTAACTAACTCTTATTATAGCCCTGTTTCTTCTTCCTTTGAAGTAAACTTTGCAATTAACTTCAATGGCAGCTGGATTGGACCCTAAGCAATAATCTTTCTATTAATGTCACCCACTATTAGGGTCCAATGCCTCAACTCAGCAAGATGTACCTAACTTGCAGCATGAGAGCAGTGTCATTGGAGTTAATGAGACGGGCACATGGTTCAGACGTGATCGTGGCATAGCCTGCTAAGAACATTAACAGCTGCAAATATACCATGAAGGAGTGTACATTCATACCCACAATCCAAGGCCTGAAGACAACAGTGCTTTGCCTGTTCTGGCTTTATTTTTAACCAGCATAAAGTAGTGTGCACACCTGGCAAACTATCTATAAGCAAATGGTCTTGAGCTAGTAGTATCACTGAAAAATGTAAAAGATGGGAGATTTTAGTGAAGAAAAAGAATAAGCTTATATTTTGTGCTACCAAATTTATATGAAAATAAACAATCGGGGGTTTTCCCTTCACGTCTTCAGAAAATTATTTTGAAAGCCATGGTTTAGCTAACAGCAAGTTTATCACTTTACTTGCTAGTGTTGATTAAAAAACTCTCATATAACTTGGCTACAGCAAGAAAAAGAATATACAAGCATACCAGCCAAAATGCAGTCACACTCAATATTTCCCACAATCAGTACTAACAAAATCATACAGAAGTTCTAAGTAGGAACGAAGCTAACAATAATTAGTGCCCATCTACAACAGTTATTGTAATATACTATTACTACTTTATGTAATCACATTATTGATTTTCTTGGCAAAAAAAAGTATCCATTTGTTTTTTATATGATATTACTATATTTTAACTATCTTTAGAAAATAAAGCAACTCATAGTCTGCTTTATAGCCTCACAAATTCTGGCAGATTAAATTTTTCTTATATGTTTAGTTAGAATCCTAATGTCAACGTATCATGGTTATACAGGTGTATCAATGTTAAAGAGAAAAAAGATTTAAAAATTGAGAATATAAATGGACAGCAATTCTTCTGTCCATTCCTCTTTGCTGATTGATGATCAAATATTGGTCTTTCTTTTTTTCAAAGCTAAATTGTTCACTGTGATGTGAATGATCATTTGGGGTGCGACATAGGAAAGGAAAAGAAAGGATGAAATAGGATCACATTTGAACACACCTGATAAACCTGTTGAAAAGGAAGACTGTACTACGAATGACTCGTGCTGTACGGGACTCTTCATGCTGAGATCTGGACAAGGTCAAACCATCATCCATGTGGCCTTCATGGTGCATTATAGCCTGCAATACAAATATCAGCCATCACAAAGAGAAACATAAGGAAATTGCATGTTCCTTATTTGTAAAATATATTGAGAGAAGGAAGGGCTAGAGTAAACACAAACATACACAAAACAAATTTAATTAAAATCAAATTAGCATGAACTTTGCTGCCTGGTACCCAGTTATACTCTGGTATTATTAAAGTATGACCAGTTCCATGACAGTTTTAGTGCTACCACTTCAAAGCCTTCAAAAGTCAGTGTTTTCCATATTGAGGTCATATCTGGAATGTCTGTGGCTTTGTCCCCATAGAAAAGTAAGGGTGTGTCTAGACTACATAGTTTTGTCAACAGAAGTGGACTTTTGTTGACAAAACTATACCTGCGTCTACACTACCGCCGAGTTCTGTCGACATAACGTTGAGAGAACTCGGTAGTTTTGTCGATGGCAGTAAACCTCATTCAGAAGGAATAACACCTTTTGTCGACAGAGTTCTTTCGACAGAAGGCGTTATTGCATCTACACTGACCTTTATGTCTACACTCTCATGTCGACAAAGCAGCTTGCTTTGTCGACAGAACTGGATGTAGTCTAGATGCTCTTTGTTGACAAAAGCTTTGTTGACAGTATCTGTCACCAAAGCCTCTGTCGACAAAAGCCTGTAATCTAGACATACCCTGAGATACTGTTTGAGAGGCAATTCCTGCCTCTTTCTGGCAGCAGTTAGGCAATAAGCTCTTTCCCCTTATCCATCTTCTAAAATTCAGCCACTTTCAGAAACAAATTATTTGCTGATCCTGGTGCCAAACCAATCACTCAACCCCTTTCTTATTTCCCCCCCTGCCTGTATCATTCAGAAAAAAACCTACATATGATCATGGATCACTACTATCTTTTTAAAGGTTTTAAACCCCATAGATACTGGTGTGTTTAAGCATTTTAGGTAACTAAATCTATGTATTTACATGAGGAGTGTTTTCCATATCAATTCTGTCAGTGATAGAAAAGTGCTACAAGCGCTGGTTTGTATGCACATTGTTTCCCACAGGTGTCAGAGCATGTCACAGGTTACATATGAGAAACTTGGATCACCAATGAGTGGAGTGCATTATAGTAGCTACCCCACAGTATTCTGTTCCAGGACACAAAGTAAATCATGACTGTGACTGTGTGTGTGATAGCCACAAAAAGCAATCAGCTCTGTGGTAGTGGGAGGGGAAGACGTGGATATCCACCCTTGCCTCCCTCCCAGACTGTGCACATCACATTCTGTCTGCCTGCCTCGATTCACATTGTGGGAGTAAGCAGAAGCATTTTATCATAATGTGTGTCCTGGAGGCATGACAGCACTGGCTGTCAAAATGGAACTAAAGGAGAAGGCCACATACCAGCAGGCAGGACAGCTGAGTTTCACAGAGCGGCCACTCCTGCTCTGCATTCTGAGACCGCTTTGGAGGGCAATTAGATTGGTAAAAGCAATCAAGAATGTTCACCGGCATATCAGCGCAAAAGTATCAGTGCAAAAAACAAACAAACAAAAAAAAGACTCTAGTTGGGGTGGTTTGCTTGTGTGGTGCAGTTTCAGGGCAAAATGTGAGTTTCCAGTGACAACGCTAACCTGGTTTCTCTGCAAAAACGTGAACTTTTGCAGTAAAACTAGCAAACACAGATATAGCCTAACATTCTTAAACACCACCTATGTTCCATTGTAAATATTTGGGGATACTTTTTTTTAAATGTAAAACAATGTTGTACACATACAGAAAACACACTTTTTCTTAAAAAACAACAAATAGTATGGTAGCACTTTAAAGACTATTTATTGATTTTTAAGTTTATCCTGTACAGACTAACTCAGCTATCCTTCTGAAACTTTTTCTTAAGAGAGCTATGTTTTAGTTCAGCATATGTGAAAACAACTTCAATGCACTGTTATGCTTAAGATTTTATATGCACAAGAATAAAAAAATTCCAAGTTATTGTTTCCCATTACTTGGCTGATTCAGGCCTGATCCAATGCACAGTGATTTCAGTAGTAATCTTTCCACTGCATTCAGAATCAGGCTCTCTGTCCAAGTTGCTGTGCAAATTATAACCAAATTTCCTGATTGTGTGTGTGAGTATAAAATCTCAGTTATATTACATTGTTGTTGTTGCCACTTTCCTTGTTAAATAATTAAAGATAAATTTAAAAACAGAAAAACAAAACTGTTTTGGTGCAATTATCTGACGAATTCACTCAAATAAATTGCTATTTCAGACAAACATTCAAAGTGAGCCAAGTTTATTTTAAAATTATCTATTAAAGTGTATCTCCACATGCATACTCAACACTAAACAATTGAGTTGACTGTTTCAACTGTCTATGTGTGACCCTGCCAAAAAACCTGGGGATAGAGATCTCATTTCACCATGCAAAGTGTAGTTAACATTAAGATAAAACACTTGATAAAACCTAAAAGGCTCATTATCACTAGTCATCAAATATTTGTGATGCAGAAAATCTCAGAAGCCTTTTATTTTCTTCACATTTTTCCCATGCTGCACAAAGTTGAGCGTAAATGGAAATGTATATTATTCACAGTCTTACCTTGCGTTGCACTGATCCCATTCTTACAGACTTTGCATCAACAGACTGGTATGTGAGCCAGAGGCCTGCGTCTGCATGTTGTATGTAGCATACTGAGTCCCCATACTTTATTTCAGGTGCTCCCATTCCATCAACCTCCTTTCTTATCCCTATATCCAATTTTTCCTAATATAAAAAAGGTACAAGCACAACTAATCAAAACAGCAACAAACACTGAGTACTGATTTTTTATTTATTTATTTTTACTGAAGGAAGTATAAGAATGCTGTAGACACTGTTGTACTTCCCCTCAATGCAAAAATGATTAACAAAGGGGTAAGCAGTAAAAACATTAGCTTGGTAGTCAAACACATGAGTGACGAGAGAGAGAGAGAGATTGTCTACACAAAATCCAGCTGAGCATTATTGAAGAACATATTTTATAATTTGTCATCTGATTTTCCAGTAGGGATGTTAAAACAGTTAACCAGTTAAACAAGAGCACTTAACTGGATAACCATTCTGACTCAGCTGCTGCCATCTAGCCCACTGCTCAGTGCAGTCGTGGGGTTCCACCGTGCCGGGGGTCCCACTGCACAGTTCACTGTCCTCCACCCCTCCCACGGCTGAGGCTACTCTGGCACAGCATGGCTGGCTGCCACTGCTCCAGCCTGGAACAGCTGGCAGCCACTAGAGTTCATTGCCAAGGGTTGGTTAACCACTTAACATCCCTATTTCCAGTCACTTTAACCCCAATGAGTTAGCATAAAACTGGTGTGAACAAAATTGAGAAGCCAACCTTATACTGGTTGATCAGATTTCAGTTTTACTAGCCTATGTTCTCTGCAGAGGTACAAATTGTACTCATCTTTAACATAAAACACTTTAAAAATACTAAAATTAAATTAAACTGATTTTAGTAGCAACTAAGGTTAAATGACTAAGAAATCCAATTGCAACACAAGAAACAGTAGGAGACTTTTCTAAAACAAACACAGCATCAACAAAATGTATTCATATGTATATGGTTTAGCCCTATCAGGAGGTTAAAGTTTCACGTAATGAGTTCATAACAAAAAGACAGAAGGAACGCGCATATTATCCACTATATATTTTTTAGAATTTGTCTGTCTGTTCGATCAAGAACTCCTCCTAAACAGTGAGAGTAGGATCACAAAATTCAGTATACAGCTTCCTCTTAACATTAATGAAAACAACATAAGGGTTTGGTTGTGCCAGGAAAATGGGATATGCCTGGAATGGGATTGATTCTCATAAAAAACAAATAAAAAAGACACCTACTCCAAAGCAAGTACAGGCCTCAACATTAACATAATTTACCAAATATTGAAAGAGACTGAACCAAGATGAGCCAGAAAAATAGGATAAACCTGGAATAGGATTGCTTCTCATAAAACTTAAAGTAAAGAGGTAAAAAAGAGAAATTTAGAGCAATGCTCTGTTTTGGCACAGTTAAATCAATGCTTAAAACTTGAATGCAAAAGAAAATGTTATTGAAAACCTAATTCAATACAGCCCTTTTTTGTTAAAACATAGCGAATAAGAGTTCATAGGGATAAAGAAAAAAACAAACTTAATGGAATTCCCATTTTTAAAAAAATACTAAAAAAATTTAACAGAAAAAAATAAAAATCCTTTTTTAAAGATATGTGAAATAAAATTAACTTAGTAAAATAACACTTCTTTTTTGAAAAATACAGTCATTCAAATAAATCATGTACATTTTTTCTTTTAATTTAAAAAAAAGTAATTGAATTAAGGACCCAAGAAACAGCAAGTAAATCTGCTAGTTTTATACATTAAACAGAAAATTAGGAAAGAATAGCACAATGCTTATGTTTGCTTCAGGCCTCAAGGTCCTATTATTCAAAGAAAAATACCAATGAAATAATAAAGGACAAAGTGATTCCCCTGAATAAAGCAAGCTCATAATCCACTTTTCATATACCTCACAACTTCAACCATAGGCTGCCACTTTGCAAACAACTTGCTCTTAGCTGAGGAAAACAGCAGAAGGATCCTATCATCTGGTTGAGAGCCCCTATATCTCACATTTTTATTATAAAACTCTTCTGAGGAATGCTGCAAAAACCAGTTACCCATGTCTTGTCATGCCCACAGATACTGGATCACATTCTGTATTATAGCACCTTACTCGCACCAAGATTTTCACCAGGGTTATGTCTACATGGGCGGCTTCTTGTGCAAGAACAGCTGTTCTTGTGCAAAAATTTGCCGGGTGTCTACACTGCAAGTGTGTTCTTGCGCAAGTAAATTTACAGTCAGAAAACAGGGCTTTTTCTGGAAGAGTTATTCCTCTCCCCACAAGGAATAAGCCCTCTTGCTCAAAAGCTCTTGCGCAAGAGGACAGTGTAGACAGGCAACATGAATTTCTTGTGCAAGAAACCCCTATGCCTAAAATGGCCATCAGAGCTTTCTTGCGCAAGAGAGCATCCACACTGCCATAGACGCTCTTGCACAAAAGCACATCTCTTGCGCAAAAGCACATGCCAGTGTAGTCGTGCTCTTTTGGAAGACTTTTTCTGCAAGAACTCTTCCGCAAAACAGTTCTTGCAGAAGAAGCTGTCAGTGTAGACATAGCCCAGAGGTCTAAGATGCACTGGAGCTGTCTCCCCTATAGTAATTTGAATAATTGAGATGCCCATAGGAGAGCATGGGACCTCACAGACTGTGAGCAATAAATACAGCAGCATTTTATCTCAGTTCTGAGATTTAGTAGTCAAATTTTTACAGCATTATTGATCATATGTTAAGGAGAGATTTTCTGGATTGCATTGGTGGCATAAAACAGTGCCCTAATTAGTTAAGACCATTATGAGGATCTCTACTCCAGAAAATAATTTAAGTAGCTCATTTAGCTACAGCCTATGTCAATGCAAAGCACAAGGGAACAGGTATAGACCACAGTTACTAAGATAAAACTGCATCCACTTGGAAGTTGGCCCTTGAGTTCCTACCAGGTCCACCTCAATCTGACGAATGGAGCATCCACCATCAGGACAGAGAATAAGGCAGTTGTTTGAGCAGGCCAGGAGGCCACCAATTCACACTCAAGGCAGGAAGCACAGTCGTCTGATCTCTTGGCAGACTCATGGCAAAAAAGAAAAAATAATCTGGCACCTGCCACCTGTTCTAAGATCTGCACAGAGGCCTCAGGATTGTCCTCTAGCCCCATCTTAGTGAAGGATTCCTCCCACGCTCCTCTGGGAGTTCCAGACATCCTGAGCCAACAGTTAGAGCACAAAGTGCTGTGGTTGAAGTTGAAGCTACTGTTGCTGTTTGTTCTTGTTCTGTTATTGCTTCTGTTCAAAGAACTGCTACAGCTGCTACGGTGTCTGGACTGATCTCCCCAGTCATTTCAATAGGGCCTCTATCTATTTCTATCTTCAGGCTGAAAGAACCATTTGTATTCTTCACCAAGTGGACACAATTTATTACTTAAACACAAAAACTTGAAGTAACACAAAAAAAAGTCACTCCTCTAGCCAACACCAGCTGCACTCTCTGAAGCTCTTTACGTAACCACACTCATCTAACTTCCTTCAGTCCCCTGTCATGTGACAGGCTGGCAGTTGTTAACCTTCTCTTGGCTGCTCCATCCTTCCACACCCACACTTAGAACCAATTTTTCTAGACATTCCCTATCTCAACAACAGCAGCAGTTTGGTGAGGCAGCTTGATAGTAAAGGCTGTCAAGAGATGTTTTTCATGATTTCAAGGGAAAAATAATCTTCAAGTTAATGAGGGATTTGCAATGCACTGCTTACATGAATGGAATAGTCACATGAGCATTACCAGAATGTTCTTCCTCACAAATTAGATTTCTAAATCCTACAAAAATATAAATGTCTTTTGAAGCACTTGAAAAAAATTCTAAATTGTTCACAGAGACTTCTTCACGTGTCATAATCATAACATTAGGCATCCTAAAATAATATATTCATTGATTCACTATATTAAATTGCTTTTGATACAGACGTTAATCTTGCTATCTTGTGCTGGTTGAATTTTTTTTTTTTTATGATTTAAATTCTTTTCTTCCTCCAGTCAATTATTTCATGTAGTGTAATAGTTAATTTGTTCATGCATTTGATACTGATTGCAGAAATATACTTCTAGCTCATTGTTAATTCATGGGTATTTGCAAAAGATATTTTATTTGTGATATAAATCTCTTAGTGTTGAAGTACACTACATTATTTTAAAAGCTAACACAAATACCTGGAGATAACAAAAATGTAAAAATGCAAAAGCATTTATAATAGGAAATTGTGTGCAAATACTGATGCAAGAATCGCCACATTAGTTCTCATTGTTACTTGAACAATTTGTCTTTTTTAACTGGTGGCATTTATCCTTGTTAATGTGCTGTACTTCCCAAGTCTTAAAGTATCTTTTCCAGTTTGGCTTCTGTAAAAATTTACTATAAGCTTTAAGCACATGAATTTTTTGTCTCTCTCCTGTGGACAAAAGATAAAACTCTGCCACTCTTTCAATTTTTTTTTTGTTAATCTCAGGTTCTGATGCCCAGAAAAAGATAAAACCAGTATTGTAGGGGTCAATTGTGGAAGAACTCTGTATGTGTGAAGTATAGGGGTGGTGAGCCTTTCCCATTCCCCACCCTCTTCCCTACTACTGATGAGCCAGAAGCAAGCCTCTAGGAATATATGCCATGTAGCAAGAACTAATTGTAGATAAGGGTGAGGACATAATCTTGTTTACCTAAATATACTGATCATGTAACCAAAGTCAAAGGACAAGCAATACAGTAACAGACTGGAACAAGCAATGAGTAACCCCTGGAAGTTTCCAAATTGCCACAAACAAGGTAGAGACAAAGTATTTAAAGCTGCACCAGAGTACGGCAATTTGGACCTCTCCGAAGGGCTTTGGGTACCGGCGCCTCGGAAGCTAAGACAGTCTTCACTTCATCCACAGCCGACAGGTTCTCTGGTTAGCAAAAAGGATGTAAGAAATGCCACTTTTCCTATCATATTGTTGTTCTTTTAGCTAAGGAGCACAGCTGATAGCTGTCAGGAAATAAACTGCTTGTGTTTGACAGATACCTGTGTAGCATTTTTTGTACGTGGAGAACCCAGTGTCAGACCTGAGACTTACTCTTGCCAGCAACAAGTACCATACGG